GTTCCATCACTGTGATTACCCAAGGGCACTGCGCTCCTTCTGGGATAGGTGTGGTGACTTCCCTCTGGGCTGGTGTTCCCACACCCTCTTCCTTAACAGAGCAGGGTGATATTTAGCTTTTGTCTCTGTTACATCTTCTATTACACACATATTATGAAAATATTTTCAGGGAGATGGTGCAGAGATTATGGAGCTTGTTGTTTGGGTTTTGTCCTGATCCATTTCTCCCTTATTGCATTATTTCCTGTCAAAGTTTTGGTGTTGTTTTTTTTTTTTTTTTTTTCCTAGGGGGGAAGTATACTCTTTAAAAATATCTTCTAAAAATATCTAAGTCTTTGGGGGTGTTACTGTGCAGTATCTGGATTTGTTTGGTAATCTGCTGAAGTGCTTTGTGAAGCAAAAACTGAGTCACATGTGATTTATAATGACCAACTTTGTCAGACTAAAGAAAAATGAATCCTTGGGTAAATCAAGCAGTGCTGTTCCCTGAATTTGGTGCTATGAAATCCTAATGTTTAAAAAAAGGCCTGGTGAGTAATGAACACTCTGTAAAACACAAAAAGGGTATTGCAGAAAGACTTTGACTAACGCTGGAGTAATACAGCTATCAGTATTGAGCAAATCAGGCAAAAACCTGGTACAGCTCACTTCCTTTTGATCTGGGAGATCTCAGACTCTGTGCTAGGAGCTGCTTCAACAAATGCAGCCATACCCTTGTTGTGAAAGCATTGCCCCATAGCCCCGGGCTAAGGACAGCTTTTGCTATCAGCAGAATGAGATCTGGCTGATGTGAATTGCTCATAGAGCAAATCAAGCCTAAACATCTCTAGTGGTTTCCTCGTGTTTCACCACTTAATGCTTCCACAGTTTTCAGATGTAATATTTGATTTTTCTCAGTGGATATCAAAGATAATATTAAACAAAATAGAAATAAAAAGGCACAAACTGAATGAAGCAAATGAATATGTGAAGTCCATATTTTACTTTGTTTTCTACTGCCTTGTTAGAAACTGAGTTACTTCTTAAAAGTCTGTTCAGAGCAGCTAAGCCTCTTGCAAAGTCCAAATGTCTGGATGGCAGGAGAACAAAATATTTACTAAAACTCTCACACTGATGAAGGTTTTTCTGGGGCACTAATGGTCATCTCCATGAACAAATGAGTGATGATTGTTTCTTTGCTCCAGATATTCATTCTGCTGGTACTGTAAAGCACTGAATCCACTTAGAAGTTTATGGCTTACATACAGGACCCCTTGCTGGACCTTGTGAAGTAGGACCACAGTGGTTTGCACGTTTGCAGTTTCTACTGAATTGTGGCACTTTGTCCATTTCTTGCTGCTGCTTTTCATGTCGCGAGGTGGACACTCAAAAGAGAAACATTCTGAAATACTCTGTTACAGGCTGGACGCTCTGGAATAGCAAAAAAATAATACTTGCCTACCAAAAGTGCTTTACATTTTGTAAAGTTTAATTCAGTTGAGTTAACAGCTTGTTGTCTGAATAAAAACTAACAAGACCAGTAACTTGTAAGAGAAATGTGAGTTTGATCTGTTCTCTTTCAAATACAGGCAAAAAGTTTGGTGGCTTAGAGGGAATCCGGGCCCTGCCCACTTCTCAGTTGTTGGTTTTCACCACTGGATTATCTTAGCCTGAGAACCGAAAGCTACAGGTAACAAGTAAATATGGAAACACATAATTAACTTGTTTACATTCTGCACTGTGATCTCATTGGCTGCTCCTTATCTATTTGTTAGTCATGCCGAGAACTGAACCAACTAGGGAAGAAAATCACATCCTCACTGGAAGGGTGTTTGCTGCTCTGCATAAAGAGCAAAGTCTGGGCTTGACTTTCACTTCTTCTGTCCAGGATTCTGTCAGATACCTCAATACCTCTGTCAGATACCCTGTCAGCCAGAGCAGCTCGATGGAAGCAATGGAATCAATCCCTCAGCCTCTCCTGCAACAGAAAGCACTTTCCTTCACTTCCAGTAAGATTGGCTTTGATTAGACGCGCATCCCAAGCCTGCACACTTCATTTTCTTTTCCCACGTGGAGGCTGGGGGCTGTGGTGCCTTATAGGGAGCTGTGGCTCGCCTCGGGGGCTGTCTAGACTGCCTGGCTCCGATCGTGTTGGGAATTAGGGCCAGACAGCAGCGCCGCCGCTTCCGCCGTGACTCAGTGCCTGGAGCGGAGCTGTGCTGAGTCAGGGCAGCGGGACAGACCTCGCCTTGGGCAGCCCAAAGGGGCACGGGACAGCTGAGAAACAACAACCCTAATAGAGGGAGGAAAGCCTTTGGGGTGAGGGACGAGTGCCCCTGACTCTGAGTCGCTCCTATGGACTGGCTTTGCAATTTCCGACAACAAGAAGCGCTGCAGAGCCAGTCCCCAGGAAGCCAAAATTGATCATATGTAAAAAAAAATTAGTATCTTAAAGATAACTTATTCTTCACTGCTTGTGTGATGCTGTGAGCTTATAAAGTCCCTAGGAAGCCAAAATTGATCATTTGGTAAAAAGAAAAAAAAAAAAAAAATCTAGTGTCGTAAAGATAACTTATCCTTTGCTGATTATGTGATGTTGTGAGGTTGCATAGTCCCTAGGAAGCCCAAATTGATCATTTGGTAAAAAAAAAAAATTCTAATATCTTAAAGATAACTTATGCTTCACTGCTTGTGTGACGTTGAAAGGTTATACAGTCTCCAGGAAGCCCAAATTGATCATTTGGTAAAAAAATAAGTCTAGTGTCTTAAAGATAACTTATCCTTTACTGCTTGTGTGATGTTGTGAGGTTATACAGTCCCTAGGAAGCCAAAATTGATCATATGTAAAAAAAATTCTAGTATCTTAAAGATAACTTATTCTTGACATTGTGAGGCTATGCAGTCCATAAGAAAAAAAAAATTGATCATTTGGTAAAAAAAATTAGTATCTTAAAGATAACTTATGCTTCACTGCTTGTGTGATGTTGTGAGGTTATACAGTCCGTAGGAAAAAAAATTGATCATTCGGTAAAAAAATAAATCTTGTATCTTAAATATAACTTATCCTTCAGTGCTTTTGTGATGTTGTGAGGTTATACAGTCCCTAGGAAGCCAGAACTGATAATTTGGTTAAAAAATTCTAATATCTTAAAGATAACCTACCCTTCACTACTTGTGTGACATTGTGAGGTTATACAGTCACTAGGAAGCCAAAACTGATGATTTGGTAAAAAAAATTCTAAATCTTAAAGATAACTTATGCTTCACTGCTTGTGTGATGCTGTGAGGTTATGCAACCAAGTGGAGAAAATCAATCCTCCTTTTCCCTTAGTTAGTTACTGATCAAACTACTCATAAACCACTCTTTTAGTTTATTGCCCTATTTACTAGAGTTTGGAAACTTATTAACTCATCTGCAGTTTTGCTTTGATCAGGTCTACAGTACAAAAGTTCTGAGATAAGTCAGTAAATAACAATAAAAAAATGTGGAGTTTGTATTTGTTTGGTTCCGTGTTTTTTTTTTTTTTTTAACCTGTTGAGGCAGCAAAGTTTGAAAAATTAGCAACAAGTATCAAGTTTGTGTATAGGAACTCCCCTTCTTGATAGAATTTTCAAGAGGGTTTCTGAAGAAATGATAACAGCAAGAGCAAGCAAATGGAACACAGGAGTAGCTGGTGGTTCTTTGGGTTTTCCTCTGCTTATTGTGGAAATGTTTTGAGATTCCTGTTAAACTAATTTGGCCCCTTGGTAAATATGTAAGGGTTTTTTAACTTTTATTTAGGGCTTGAAACATCATTATTTGTTCTGTTGCTTTTTATCATGCTCACAATGAGGAAAGCAAAAAGTTTAGGCTTTTGGTGGCAATAAACTCCAGTCCTGCTATGTTGTACAAATTAATATGAATTATTTGCTCTTTGTAGGTGTTCAGCATGTCTTCTTTTACCTGAGACACTGCTGTACTCAGCAGATATTGAACTCTCATAGGGGCTGAGGAGGACAAGGCTGCAGCTGACAGAGCCAGGATGACAGTGCTAAAATGTTATTCGTGAGAGATGATACAAGAGCTACAAAGTGCAACTGAGGAGATTGGGGCTGCACCGTCTGATTCTTCCTTAGGTGGGCAGTGCAGGGGTGCAACAGTAACAGAGACCTCCACCAGGGAGGATTCCCAGTTTCCCTCTTCCCAGCCTTGCGCCTGCTGCCGCGACCCTGGAATTTAAAATTACTTCATTTAATACCCTATGTGTTTGAAAATCAGGGTGGTGGGGTTTTTTCTTTTGGTGTTGTTTTTTTTTTTTGGTTTTTTTTTTTGGTTTTTTTTTGCCTCCATGGCTGGGTCCGCATTGGCACTCCCTTCACACTTTGCTTAGCAGCTTTCCTGAAAGACTGGTTCAGAAACAGTCTTGGTAAGAGACTGTTCACCAAACAGACTTGCTAAGACCACACACGGACGTCTCCCACTCTTCAAATTTCTAGCACTCTTTCATAGGATGGTACAATGGTTTGTGCTGGAAGGGACCTTAAGGACCATCTCATCCACCCCGTGCCATGGGCAGGGACACCTTCCACTACCCCAGGTGCTCCAAGCCACATCCAACCTGGCCTTGAACACGTCCAGGGATGGGGCAGCTTCTCTGGGCAGCTTCCAGGGCTTCACCACCGGCACAAGAAATGTTTTCCTTGACTTTCCCCCAGCCTTCGGCCCGGGCGGAGATAAGAGCGGGATGCCCGGAGCGAGGGCAGCTCCGGGGCCGGGGTTCCGCGGGTGCCGTGCCGTGCGGTGCCGTGCCGTGCCGTGCCGTGCCGTGCCGGGCGCTCCCGGCGGAAGAGAGCGAGAGCGGCGTCCCGGGCTCGGAGCGGCCAGGGCCCGCCCCCGGCACCACATGATGCCGCCTCTCCTTCCTGCCGCCCCCGTCCCGGCCAGAAAGGGGAAGTGGCTGCGCTGCGCTCCCCGCCCCGCCGCGGGAAACGCGGGGCCGGCGCGTCCCGGCAGAGCCGCGCCCGCGGAGCAGCGCGGCCGGGCCACGATGCTGCTGCTGCCGCCGCTGCTGCTGCTGCTGCTGGGCGCCGCGCTGGCCCCGGGCAGCGCCTTCAACCTGGACGTGGAGCGCCCGGCCGTCTACTCGGGCCCGGCCGGCAGCTACTTCGGCTTCGCCGTGGACTTCTTCTCCCCCGACCCGCTCTCGTAAGTGCGCGTCCCGTCCCGCCCCGTCCTGCCCCGCCGAGCCCGGAGCGGCGCTGTCCCGGCCGGGAGCCGAGAGGCGGGCGGAGGATGCGGAGCTGCCCCCGCTCCCTCTGTGGCAGGCGGGCCGGGGCGGCTCTCGGAGGGAACGCGGCTCTGCTGAGGCCCCGGAGCGGGATGGAGCCGGTGCTGGTCCCCAACAAGGACCGCTCCGCATCCCGGCCCCGTTGGGGCGGCTCTCGGGGGGACACGGCTCTGCTGAGGCCCCGGAGCGGGATGGAGCCGGTGTCTGTGCCCAGCAGGACCGCTCCGCATCCCGGCCCCGCTGGGGCGGCTCTGGGGCCGGGATGCCGCACCACTCCGGCGGGGCACGAACCTTGTGCTGCGGGATTCTCTGCATAGCCCGGTCTCACGCAAATGATGGTGGTGATAAATACAGCGTGGAAAGATGTAGTTGTGGTGTTTTGGTTCCTGGAGCTGCGTGCTGTGGCGTTTCAGGAGATCTGCTGTTCTCTCCTCGAGTGTGCTTTGCGGGAGTGCTGTGTTTGAGTAGTGGTGAGTCTGTGCGAGTCGCCGAGGAGTCTGGAGAGGGAAAAGTTCCATGTAAGCTCTCTCCACGTCTGCTTCCTGAATAGGTTCCCGTTTCATGTTAAAGATTAGGCAGCGTGCCGTCGCTGTTGCGTTTCAGACCTTTGAATCCTCGCCTCGCTAAGTCGGTGTTGCCAGAATGAATCAGGCTCTGGCTCTGAAATGCGGGCTACAGTAACACCCAGCTTTTGTCGCTTTCCCCCCACTCCTCTCCCATCTTAAGGGCTGGAAGATTGGAAAAGCTGCTGGCTTTCATCCTGCTGAAGGGATATTCTCTCTCCCCCCTTAATCTTTAGCTTGTGAAACTTTATAAGCAAATTGTACGGCTATTGAGCAAGTCTTTCTGCAGTACATCATCTAACTTTGTTTGCATTTTTTTTATTACCTACATATATTAGAAGCCATCCTGTCTTAACTTGCACATGTTGCACCATCTTTCTCTGCTATCTTAAGTCTTGGTGCTAGAAGAAAAAAGCTTCTATTTTTGTCCCGCCCTTTATTTTTAAGTCCACATGTGTGGCTGCAGAGTTATCAAGAGACTGGTAAATGGATGTAATAAACTTTCTTCCTTGCTTTCTGATAAGGAATTATGTGACACAGCTCTCCATGAAATCACTATTTGGAAGCTTTCCATTATTTTTATAAGAACTATTGACCTCCAAGTGCACTGCTGTTAAAGAAAACAGTGTGGCTGTCAGGCAGCACGAAAAGCTTCTGTATATTTCAAAGGGAATACTCTCCTTGTTTGTTTGGTTTTTTTTTCTTTTTTGTTTGTTTGTCATCACTAAAATTTTGTTTGTACCTGCTAAGCTAAGCACTTTATTTTACATTAAAGTTCGTAATTGACCCAAGTAGCTCTGCAACTTTCACAGGAACAGGCTCTCGTGGTGTTCAGTTTTCAGTTTATGCCTATGGACACTGATATTTTGCCTCCTGAAATAGCCAGAAATACTTGTATGCAGTGTAAAGGCATATGGGGTGTGACGTGGTTCCTATGCCTTTCTTTTTGCTTTAGTGAGCTTTTATTCATCACCTGTTTTAGAGCATTCATTCATCACCTGTTTTATACATCAGTACCAGAGATTAAGTCAGTTTCCTTGGGCTAAAGCTGTTTGGATTGCCTAGCCTGACAACAAAGGCATGCTGTTAGTCCCTGAATGCTCAGGCTGCTGTTTCACGGTCTATTTTGACCTGCTGGATGCCAAACTGAACCATATTTAGAAGTCGAGGGTGAAAGTCCCATTCCAGGAGTGGAAGTGGTGGTGTTGTGTCCGGGTGCCTGACAGTGGGCACAGCTTTTATAGGAGAAACAAATGAAACAGGTTTCTCACACACCCTCTGCTGCGCTTGATAGTCCAGGGTGCACCTCCAGGGACGGCCCAGTTTCTTTGTTGCCCATGGAAATCCCTGGAAAGGCATCCCAGAGGTGCCAGAACAATCCTAGTGTTGCCCCAGCATTGGGGTGGGGTGGATGGTTCAGGACCATGATTCAGGAAATTGGCAATACTCTAAAGCATAGCTGGTGTATTCCCATGGAAATACAATTGTCCCTCTATTCCCTCTTTCCCAAAGTATGTGGGTTAGAGACTTCTAAGAATTTGGGTAATTTGCATGTTATTATAAGAGCAGTGACAAAGACTGCTTGCTTGGTCTCTGATGATAAAAATGCATTTTTTTTATTTGGGGAAAATACCTTTGTGGAGCCACAAAAATGATTCCTATATTCCTGTTTAATAAACCTCACCACAAATATTAGCCTAAGAAAAATTTAAAATATATAATTAGAATGGGAATGAATGAATCTTTTAAACAAATGCTTCATTTGGGGGACTTCTCAAAAGTCAGTGGTACAAGAGTAAAATGGGAAGTAAGCTACCACTTGTTTAATAGATTGTAATTATAATAATTTATATGTTTCTTTACTTGGCATTATAATGTTCATTTTTAAGCCTTTGTGTTCTGCCCAGAGATCTGATTTTAAGTGATTAAAGTGTTTCAAATTCCTGCTCTAAAAATCTAGACAGTCTAAGAATGGCAAATAGGGAAAACAAATGGATTGCCAGCTAGCCTGGATTTTCTATCAGGGTCCATGCCAGGACATTTTTAAGGTTCTGAAAATTCACACAGGTTGAAAAGTGGTAGATTTTCATGCAAACTGAGCTTTGATGAGGTGCTGCATGTTTATACCTATGCTTATCTCTTTACTGGAAAGGAGCCTGGAGATGGCTCTGAAAACCAGAGCCAGTTTGATAAGCCTGGCTTTGCCTGCCTGTAGACATTCTCCCCAACCAGTCCTGCAGCTTGTTCAGCTAAGCCAGCTTCCAAACCAGAGAACTGCAGTGCCTGACGAGACTTGCTCCTGCAGGCTGCGTTCCCTCTTCAGCAGTGCCAAGGGAAGAGCCAGAGCAGGCTCTCTGATGAAAGGAAGCACTTGATTTTGACTTCATGCTTCACACTGACTCTCTCAGTCAAGTGCTGATGTGTCAAGTGGGTCTCAGAGGTGCTGGGGCTCCTGCAAGAGCCTTGTTCAGTCTGTTTGCTCCTTTGGCACTGCTGAATTTTGCCACCTGTGCAGGAGCAGAGTGCAGGCAGTTCCTGCTCGGGGGGCACCCAGCAAGTGTCTGCAGAGGCAGGGATGCAGAAAGGCACAGCAGATGCTGATAGGGAAGTGATGAGTGAGCAGTGAGTGTGGGTGAGGATTCATCAGCCTGCAGATCTGTGGCTCGGGGTGGCTGGCACTTTGTGTTGTTTTTACCAGAGCCCTCGCTCAGGCAGGGCTGACTCATCACGTTCAGGACACGCTGAGCTCCCAGCCCGCTGCTGCTTTGTTTGTACGTTGTTTCCATTTCTGACAGACTTCCCTGAATTACCCTTACTCACGAAATTAACAGAAATTATGCCACCTGATGGCTTTCGTAAGGTACAGAAGTGCACAATTTCCTCTTCTGCTGTGCACGTACATATTTTTGAAAAGAAAAAAGAATAATATGAAAGGTGTTTCTCTCATTTAAAATACAATCCTAAGGAGGCCTGGATACTTTGAATTTGTCGTATCTTTTTTCTCTCTTCTTTTGGTGAATTTTTTTTTTTTCATGCAGAAAAGAGAACCTCATATGAATTTCTCTAACTGAGAGTAGCTGGAGTTGGATTTATGTTAGAGCAGGCAAGACTTCTGCTTCATGTCATAAAGTTATAACAGCTGTGCCTTAGCTGTTGAAACCTTTTAAAATATATTTAAAATATGTAATTAGAACGGGAATAAATAAATCTTTTAAACAAGTGTTTAAAGGTTTTTTGTGTTCTGCTTCTTCTTTTTCCTGCAGGACATATCTTTTGGTGGGAGCTCCCAAAGCCAACACTAGCCAGCACAACATCATAGAGGGAGGGCAGGTGCTCAAGTGCAGCTGGAACTCCAACAGGAACTGCCAGCCCATTGTGTTTGATGCCACAGGTAATGTGTGGGTCACTGTGGGGGAGGTGGGGTGCCTCTGCTCTGATGTGGGGAAGCAGAGAGGTTTCAGGTCCCTGTGGGATTTTTTTCATGCTCAGTGTGAATGTGGTTGGTTTTTGACTGGCAGCTAGTCAAGGCTTGCTTGTGCTCTCCTTTTCCTCTCCTCTCTCTTGGAATGGTTGTCCCTGGTACGTCCTGAAAGCCTGAGTGAGCAAACAGTATTCTTCTTGTGTTTTAACCTATTTATATTTCTCCTCTGTACTTTTCAGCAACCCTAAAACATTTGGCAACCTAATTCCCAATGAACCCCGAGGGGTTTTCTTCCTATTAAGAACATGTCGTATGAGGATGCTTTTCAATATCAGCAAAGGTGGTTTAGGCAGAAAATACCCAAAAGTTTAATCTGACAACAGGAATTTGGCCTAAAAACTGTGAAAAAAATATCTTCTTTAATTTTTTTCCTCTCATATATAGCTCCACAGTGTTTGTGGTTTCTGTGATAGCAGCGCTGAGGTCATAGGCACTCCTTACCCATTGCTGAAGCACGTTTAAAGAGCTGAGCAGCAGCAGTGTGGACACGAAACATTTCAGTCATTCCTCATGCTCTGGTGCACACAGTGATTTCCACAGGCGGTGGCAGGTCATGGGAATGCTCTGCATGTGCTTTTCGGCTCCAGCCCCTCGCTGCTGAATCCTGTTTTCCACAGCGTGTTTCAGGGCAGCGGAAAAACCTCCCCATGGCACGGCAGGGGATTAGCAAGACCCATGTGGAAAGGCAGAGGAAACACCTGTGCCTTGAAGCTCTGGTTGGTTGTAATTCATTCTTGCCTCTGCTAGCATTTTGACTTGGCAGCCTAAAAATTGCTAGATTGATGCAGCCTTTTTAAATAGTGTGCAGTAGAGTGGAGAAGCTCTTCTTCCAATTCCACTGTCAATATATGCCACAAAAGGTTGTTGCTGTTCAGATTTCTGAAATCTTCATATCTTTTTGTGAAAACCACTATGTCACCAGTTTCCTTGCAAAAAGCAAAAAGGAAAAGAGTATGCAATGGCACCCACAAACCCCGAGTCATTATCATTCTTTCACTCATTTATCATTCTCATATTATTCTGTGGGAGCATATCTGTCAGATTACTAAAAATCTCTAATAAGCTGCAAAGTCTGACTTTTTTTTCTGCATCAGTGTCCAGGCAGCAAAACCAGATTATAACTGTCTTCTTTTTGTTGTTGTTCTCTTATAACTGTCTTCTTTTTGTTGTTCTCTGGGCTTATTTACTAGAATACAAGTGTGCTTTTTGTTAATTTGGGTACTTTTAAGAAAGAATCTTGATGTCCCTAGTTAATAATCATTAATATCATAGCATGTTGGTTCTAAACACATCTTCCAATGGGAATTACAGTGCATTTATGAGTTTATACTGTGAACATTTGCAGTAGGCTTTTCCATGTGCCAGGTGGAGTTGATAGAGGCCACACTGCCTTCCTGCATGTCTGTGCTTAAGGGATGTGCTCCTGGGCAAACAGACAGTGTTTTGCTTGTCATTTTCCTGTAAGGTACAGCCATGTTAATTGCTTGAAATTTAACAGTAAAAATAGCAGGTCATGAAGGCTTAAGAGGATTTCTTTCAGGCAGGCTTTAACTCACTCCAGCTTTGAGGCAATGAATGGGGGAATAATGCATTTGTCAATTATTGTCCTGGTGAAAAGGGGCATTGTATTTCAGCTTGATAAAATAATGAATGCCCTGAGACAAAAAAAGAAAGTGTCTTTTTCTTTGTGCGTAGCACAATGCTCGATTCCCTGTGCTCTGGTGACAAAGTCAGTGCCAGCACTGGCAGCTGCTGTTCCTGCCTGCCCCTGCCCCTGCCTGTGAGGGAGCAGGGATTAGGGAAGCCTCCTGACCCACTTTGGGAAACGGGAAGTGGAAGATCTGACCACTGACTTGTGGTGCTGATGCTGATGTGGGGCTTTTTGTGGATGACTAAATGCAGCCTCTGCAGGAATCCAGGCTCATCCAGCTCTGCTCATCATTTGTGCAATACCATCTGTAACTCCAGAGGTATTGCTTAGCCCTGCCATACCAGGCAGATTTTTTATTCCCTCCCAGATTCACTGGAAAAACCAGGATCTGCATCATTACTTAGATGTGTTTCTTCAGAATCATTTTCTAATTGCTTACAGCCAGTGAGGAATCTGACCTGTGAAAATAATGAGAATGCTTGTCCTTGTGGCTTTCCTCAGTTTGCCTGACGATGCCAAACTCTGTATGTGGAGCTGGATGCCCTGTAATTAACAGGAGTCATGACCCTGTTCCTGTTCCTGCTCCCTTCTGCCAGGTAGCACAGCTGGAAATGCCAGAGCAGGCCAGAGGGAACGTGGCGAGGGAGTGGAGGAATTGTTCTGACTGTGTAGGGTTGTTTTTTCCCTTTTTATTATCACAAATAAATGTGAGACTAGGTGTTTACAGAGGTCCAGCAAGCAGGGTTTCTTCCTCTAGATGTTGTTCTGTTACTATTAATTAGGGCTATTTCTTCTTAAAAATTCCTTGGTTTTTTATTTAAGTTTTTCTACAGCTTTATGGGTCCATTTCTCTTCCCCATCTGTACAAAGGCCATGCTGAGCTCACTGGCTGGACAGGGCTGGGGTTTATTTTCTAGATCTTGCTTTTGGGTTTAACATCATATTTGCAGACCAGCATGCTCATTTATGTGATCAAATGCCACAGCTCTTCTGTAGCCCAGGAGGGAAGGTACCAGCTCCTGAGAATAATCTTTGGAAGAGCTGTTCCAGCCCTGGAGTTCAGCAGCATTGGTTGCTCACTTGCACTTACCCTCACCCCAGCTGCCCTGGAGGAAGGTGATAAGTCACTGAGCTGATGTTCCTGTACTACAGAATTTACTGCTTTGTGTGTTCCTTCCTGTGGGGGAACACTGAGCTCTGTCAGGAGTAGGAGTCCATTTGTGCAGTGTCATTTATGTAGCTCTCATGCTGAAATTACCTGTATTTCCCTCCTTTTAATATTTTCTTTTTCGCCCTTCCCATCAGCCTGTAACATCAAAACCAAAATCAAACCAAAGCAGTTGTCATAATTTTTAAACCTCTGGCTAAAAAAAGCAATGTTCTTTCACACCATATTTTTTTATTTAAAACAGCAATATATTTCGTGCAATCACTGAATGGTTTGGGTTGAAAGGGGCCTTAAACATGATGTAGTTCCCACCCCCTGCCATGGGCAGGGAGAATTCATGGAAGGGAATCTCCTCTTGTCCTGAATCTCTCAGCACAGTGAAATTCACTGGAGAATATTCTCTCTGTGTGGTTCTTTGCACATTACACTAATTGCTTTTGACATTCTGGTATATATGGTGGCTTTGGAAGGCAAAATGTTTATATGGCACATTAACACTTCCCAAATGCAGCGATGCTTTGCTGTGGGGCTGCTCAGCCTTTCAGCAGTGACATCAGTTGGCTTTGATTTAACACAGTTGTGACTGTGTGAAAGTGGCATAACAGACGTGTGTGGTGGAGCCTGCCCTGGAGTCCAGGGTGCACATGGCTCTGCTGGGCTAGAAATTAAAAAAAAAAAGATTTTCTAATGTCACCAGGCAAGTGTTTCAGGCTGGCTTCTGCTCTTAGGAGCACATCAAGGTAGTAGGATAAGAAGGAACAAGCACCACAGCAAGCATCCTAACCTGCACACCTCTGCTGGTCCTGTTACAAAACTGAAATATGAAGCAGTGCTGCTGTCAATTTAACAGGTTATCCTCCAAGTCTAGATAGAAACAGGTCTGATTTAAATACTTTTTTAACCTTATTCCTGTTTACCTTGTTAATTCAGCGGTGAAGATGCCTCTTTCACAAAACTAAAATTTTTGGCCTTGGTTTTCTTCTCTATCTTGACTTTTTTTGACAAGTGACAAAGCATGACCACAGTTTCAATTCAATTGCTATGTGAAATACTTGGAATTTTTCCCTTCTGTCCCAGTTAACTTTCAGACCTTCAGAATGTGTAGGAGGCCCCATTTTTTCAGGACAAGCACTGAAGAGAAATTTATATTCTCAAGATAGCTTATTCTTCAAAATTTTCATAAACACAAGCAATGATAACAAGTCCTTTCCCCTCTGCAAGATGTTTTACATTCAAATTAACCAAAATCACAGGTTGTAGCTCAAGGTAAATATTGATCTTCATTCATTCTTATCTGTTCTCCACACTGGATAATGTTGTGATTAAAAATTTAGGTAATTTTTTAAATTTTAAATCCATCGAAATAGGGGAATGCTCTGAATTTTGTGAAGAAGTATCTGTGGAAGCAAATAGTGGAAAAACTGCTTTTACACCTGGATGAGCCCTTTCCACCAGACTGACCAGAGACGTGGTTCCTCTTAGAAAGTTTAACACTTGGCTTTCTCTGCCAGCTGCTCAGCAGCTTTTTCCAGGAAAAACATATTTCTTGTGGGTAAACCCTGAAGGGAAGGCACTTAATAAGCAGCCCATTTTCTGTTTCTGATCAGTTCTGTGGCCTAGGTCCAAACCCATTTGTTTTAAAGCTGTATCAGTCTCCATCTCCTTTTTTCATCTCCACAACCTTCACAGCAAATTTTTCATGGACGGTACCAGATATTGCCAATAGTGTTTCCATAGTCTTCCTCAGGAAAAAGATTCCTGGAAAGTTAAAGGGTATTGCACAAGTGAAATTTACTTTTTGTAGTTGTTCATTTTCTGTGTAGAAAAGTAAACACATTTTTTTCTGCGCAACAGGAGGCTCAGAAGTTCACTGAGCCAGACAACAAATCCAGTGAACAGAGGGGCGGCCAAATGTGCTTTTTAGGAAAATCAACACATCATCTTTATGTTTTTACTTATGTGTTTTACAGTTAGGCATGCATGGAATGGCAGGGTTGATACACTTAGTTAACTGTCTAAATAAGTGCCTCCATTATGTGCCCCTGGAGTTTTAGAGGATCATTTTGAGTTTTGATTTCAACAAACAAAAAA